AAATGGGCACAGTATCCTCTGTGAGCCTGAGACACCCGCTTTAAGGACACTGACTGCTATTCAATCTATAACAGTGAAAAAAGTTTTTTGTTTTTAAATGCAAGCTATTGTGACACCAGTGAGTGAGTGGTGGCACTGGGCACAATATCCACTGTGAGCCTGACACACCCGCTTTAAGGACACTGACTGCTATTCAATCTATAACAGTGAAAAAAGTTTTTTGTTTTTAAATGAAAGCTATTGTGACACCAGATATGAGTGGTGGCACTGACTGGGCAAATGGGCACAGTATCCACTATGAGCCTGACACAGAAGCTGGCAGCAGTGGCAGACAACTAACTGCTATTCAATCTATAACAGTGAAAAAAGTTTTTTGTTTTTAAATGCAAGCTATTGTGACACCAGTGAGTGAGTGGTGGCACTGGGCACAGTATCCACTGTCAGCCTGACACAGAAGCTGGCAGCAGTGGCAGACAACTAACTGCAATTACATTACACATGAAAAAAAAAAAAAGCAAATGGTATGCCATCATGGGGGTAATTCTCATTCCTGGGCTACCATACACTCTCAAAGGCAACGTAACCAACCTGGCCCTTTTCAATGTAAAAATATTTGACCCATATATTTGACCCTGTAACTTTCAAACCTGTACATGGGGATACTGTTATACTCGGGAGACTTTGCTGAACACAAATATTAGTGTTTCAAAACAGGAAAACGTATCACAACAATTATATCATCAGTAAAAGTGTTGTTTGTGTGTGAAAAATGCAATAAAAAGTCACTTTCACTGACAATATCATCGCTGTGATATGTTTTACTGTTTTGAATCACTAATATTTGTGTTCAGCGAAGTCTCCTGAGTAAAACAGTGCCCCCCATGTACAGGTTTTAGGGTGAAAGTTACAGGGTAAAATACAGTGCTAGCAAATTAAATTCTCTGGACTTTCGGCCTGGGTTGGCAAGCAGGTCCCTCAAATTGCAATCAATAAAATTACTTAATTATGTAAAAATATTACATAAATACGCATGTAGAATTTAAATATATATGCATATTTGTATATTTGAAGTCTACGTGTATATTTATATAAGTATTTATGTTGTTTTGTATATGGACATATGTATATTTCATATTATTTTTATTTATTTATATATACATAGATATATATATATATTACTATCAAAATACAGTTAGAATAAAATTTCATATAGATATATAATTTTTGTTTTAAAAAATATTATTATTTTTACATGTTTTTCTTTAATTTACATTACTTATTATTTGTATTTTATAATAATATATATATATATACAATATATATAGTTATTATATATATTATATATATATACGTGTGTAATTTAATCATAAGTGTATTTTTATATTAATATATGTACATATTAATATAAAAATACACTTAGTATGACATTATAGATATGATATATAGACATATATTATATAAATCATTTTTATATATACACATATATAATTATTTTTATTAACATTAACAGTTATTTTTTATTTTTATTTTACACTAGCAGGAAGACTGCATGTCAGCACAGGCAGTCCCCCTGCAGGCAGACACATGGATACCTATTGTGACCATGTGATCGATCTGTTGAGCGATCACATGGCCCCAGGGGTCCTAATCCGCCATGGGGAGACTGTCTGGGCTGCAGGCAGTCTCCCCACATCGGGAGCACCGCCGATTGCCGCCGGGGGAACAACGGCGATCGGGTAAGTACATCTGACCGTTAGGACGGTTCAGAACTGTCAGCGGTCAGCAACGCAAAAATGCCGATGACGGTCCTGAACCATTCTCGGTCCTGAAGGGGTTAAACTCAGGGCCGTCTTTACCGCGGGGTAAACGGGGCAGCTGCCCCGGGCCCAGTTACTCTTGGGGGCCCGAAGCAGCTGCACCGTGGGCCCCGCTGACCTCAAGCATTTTTCCCAACTGCCGGTGCAGCCACGCACCCGGTGGGCTTCTGTCAGCAGGGGCCCGGTCTTGCGCTCTGGCGCTTTAAGAGCGCGACCAGGCCCTCTTGCTTTTCGGCAGCCGGCTTGGAGGAAGTGACGGCTGCACGTCACTTCCTCCCTTAGAGCGAGGAGCGCGTGGGAGGAGAAAGAGGCAGAGCGGTGGGGGTCTGGGCCGAGCTAGCCAGACCCCAACTCCCAGCAGCTTCAGCCACTGGTAGGAAAGTCACCCTCCAACGTAGAAAGGGTGGGTTTAATAGTGTAAATTTTGCATGTGTATCTGTGAATGTGTCAGTATGTCTGTCAGTGAGTGTGTCAGTATGTCTGTCAGTGTGTGTCAGTATGTCTGTCAGTGTGTGTCAGTATGTCTGTCAGTGTGTGTGTCAGTATGTCTGTCAGTGCGTGTGTCAGTATGTCTGTCAGTGCGTGTGTCAGTATGTCTGTCAGTGTGTGTCAGTATGTCTGTCAGTGTGTGTGTCAGTATGTCTGTCAGTGCGTGTGTCAGTATGTCTGTCAGTGTGTGTGTGTCAGTATGTCTGTCAGTGTGTGTCAGTATGTCTGTCAGTGTGTGTGTCAGTATGTCTGTCAGTGCGTGTGTCAGTATGTCTGTCAGTGCGTGTGTGTGTCAGTATGTCTGTCAGTGCGTGTGTCAGTATGTCTGTCAGTGCGTGTGTGTCAGTATGTCTGTCAGTGTGTGTGTCAGTATGTCTGTCAGCAGGGCCGTCTTTACCGCGGGGCAAACGGGGCAGCTGCCCCGGTCCAAGTTACTCTTGGGGGCCCGAAGCAGCTGCACCGTGGGCCCCACTGACCTCAAGCATTTTTCCCAACTGCCGGTGCAGCCACGCACCCGGTGGGCTTCTGTCAGCAGGGGCCCAGTCTTGCGCTCTGGCACTTTAAGAGCGCGACCAGGCCCTCTTGCTTTTCGGCAGCCGGCTAGGAGGAAGTGTGTGTCAGCATGTCTGTTAGTGTATGTGTCTCTGTGTGTCCATATGTATGTCAGTGTGTGCATGTCTGTATGTCGGTGTGTGCATGTCTGTATCAGTTTGACTCTTTGTGTCTGTATGTCGGTGTGTGTGTTGGTGAATGTGTCAGCATGTCTGTCAGTGTGTCAGTATGTCTGTGTGTGTCTCAGTATATATCTGTTTGTCTATGTGTCAGTATGTCTGTCAGTTTATGTGTCTGTGTAAGTATGCCTATCAGTGTATGTTTGTGTGTCAGTTTGTCTGTATATCTGTGTGTGTATCTATATGTTGTCATTTTTTGTATCTGTGTGTTTGTCAGTGTGTATATATGTGTGTGTATCTGTATGAAGTCTGTGTGTGTGTGTATCTGCAAGTGTGTCAGGTATCTATATATGTGTGTCTGTGTAACTGCATGTGTGTCAGTGTTTGTATCTTTGTGTATGTCAGGATGTGTATCGGTGTGTCTGTATGTGTGTCAGTGTGTATCTGTACGTTGTCTTTGTGTGTTTCAGTGTATCTGTATGTTATGTTATTAGTATGTGTGTCAGGGTGTGTATTTGTGTGTCAGGTTGTGTGTATATCTACCTGTGTGTTTGTGTGTGTATATGTGCATACATCTCAACATTCACACGCTAACACTACACACAAATACACCCCTGCATTCAAGCTTCAGCACAACATACAAATACACGTCTGTGTTAAACACCAACATTATATGTATACACACCCCTGCATTCAAAAAACAACACTACACATAAATACATGCTTACATTCAAACGCCAATGCCACATACAAACATATTCCATACAAAAACCTGTATACATTGAAACACACAAAAACAGCTTAGTGCTAAATACAAACCTGCAAATATGGATAAATGGTAGAGCCCCAGCTGTCAAGGCATTCCTGGAGTTGCACAACAGATGGGGATCTACCTTTTAAACATCCTTGCAATAGGGAGGCCCAAAAAAAATATTCTTGCACCTCTCTACTTTAGGTAGCCACTGCGTTAAGGGTGATAACGTGTTTGCACGCCTGGGGAGGGTGTACATGGTCCAGGGGGCCCAAGCAAATGTTTTGCCCAGGGTCCAATCAATATTAAAGATGGCCCTGGTAAAACTCCCTTGTAGTTAAATTCCTGTTGTTTTAACGCCTACTTAAGATAGAATACTTTAAATAGCCTACTTTCAAACATACGCCAGTGAGCAAGCTCTGTGAGTCAGTAGTGGGTTTATATTGGCAACAGAAATCCCACACAGGTGGAAATTAAGGGGCACTCCCCCTAACTAGCTAAGCAGCAGCAGCAGCACCCACAGGGAGGGGAATATAAACAGCAAGACAAAAAAAAAGAGGGAAATTTTTTTAAATAAAAACAGCAAGGAGAAAATATAGATAAAAAAAGGGACAGAGTTTAAATAAAAACAGCAAAGAAATAAAAATATATATAAGAAAAGGGGGAAAAGTAAATAAAATCAGCAAGGAGAAAAAAATAAATTAGAAAGGGACAAAGTTTTAAATAAAAACAGCAAAGAAATAAAAATCTGTTTAAGAAAAAGGGGAAAAGTTTTTCATGACTAAATTGTTTTTAAAAGTTAGTATAAGTTATTAAACAGATTTTTAAAAAATAAAAAGTACTTAGATCATATATATACTTTTATATACACATACACATACATACATTGAAAAATGTATTTTAATATGAATATATATATAATATATAAATTGTAATATTAAAATACACTTAGAATGATGTTAATTATATATATATATATATATATATATATATATATATATAAAAATAAATAATCAATAAATAAATTGAAAAAATAACAAAAAATAAATTATATACTGGTTTTATTTTTGACCCTGTCATTTTCCAAAACACCATAAAACCTGTACATTGGGGGTATTGTTTTACTTGAGACATCACTGAATACAAATATGTGTACTTTATTGCAGTAACAACAAACAGAATGGTGACATCTAGGTTTCTATGTTCTTTGTTTCTATGACATTTACAGTTAAAATGCCATGCAAAACTAAAAAAACTAACATTTCTTAATTTCTCATTTTGTTTTATATTTTATTCATATAAATTATGTTTAATATACAAATATTTGATGTGACACGAAAGCCCTGTTTCTCCTGAACAAAATTATATATGATAAGTGTGGATGCACATAATATGAAAGAGGTGAATTACGCCTGACAGACATATAGCGCAAATTCAAGGTTTTGTTTACGTTTTGTATTAATCACAACTTGTACAACTGCCTCAGTCCTTAAGGGGTTAATACTGCAGTCCAATGGCAAATATTCCATTGGGCCCTCCAGGCCTGAAGAGCAATGGCAGCACAGGCCAACAGTGTTTGCACAAACACATATGGTGATTGAGCGAGGGAGGGCCCTGCATGATTCCTGCCTGCTGCCTTACTCCTGTAGAACTATGGAAAAATACATCCTAGCACCCCACCTGCTATTTGAATTCTTAAAAGAATAGCTAGAGGCTTCAGCCTTCAACCCTCTTCCCAGTCTCCCCATGCTAGTGGCATAGTTGCTCACACCCTTCTTGTTAACCTTCACACGACATGCAGACAATAAAAAAAATCTTGGTGTCTTGGAGATGTATTTGACTTTTTAAACAGACAGATCACCTGTTTCGAGGATGGAAGACCTGGGCGCAAAACTTACAATTGTGTGGTTGTTGTGTGCTCTGGGTGCAAGGTTAAAACAACAATGTGTGGGTTTAATAAAGCAGGTGTGAGGTTTATAAATATTGGTTTATATGTAATTTAAAATTCAATTCTAATAATGTTTTCTTGCTTTTGTTTTATGCTAGAAGACTATCCTCTGAGAACAAATGTGGTTTTACTTTTTAACTCTACATTGTGAGAAAATTGCAGTATAACATTTTCATATGTAATATAGGTTAATTTTTGTTTTTTGTAATGAAAAATATAATGGCTGTCTGATTTAGATATTACTATTGTAATGTAGTGTATAAATAAACACATGCAAATGTATTTCAGGAATTAAGACTTCAGCTCAGGATAGGTAAGAACTTTGTGTTTATTAGGAGCTGGACTGAATGGCTACATTTTGAATATCACATTTCTACAATTGCTATAGTAAATGAAATAGGAATAAATGTTGTAGCATGACACTCCTTTAAATGTTCTTCAGGCTAGTTTAGTGGTATCCTTTTCCCAGAGCATCCGCCACAACATGGAACAGCTTGTTAAAGGCAGCTTGTGTCTCAGGAGTGAATTCTTCACCGAAGTGACGTGCCAGGACAATGATCAGCACAGATCCAAAACGCTATTAGAAAGAGATACAAATGTATTACTATCATGGAATGGAAAACTAATGTTTACAATCACTTGCATCTGTATTATAATGGAATATTTTTAGTAAAATATAAGCAGACAGTCAAGATGCATAATTTATTTCAAGGTAGAAAATAATCAGTTGAGCTAAGTTATAGACTTTCCATCTCCACTACTTGTCCTTAGAATTTAAGTCAGCTATCTCTTTAGTACTGTTTAGTAATCTACCTTTTTAAAGCAAGAGAAGCACAATTTATTTATGAAAACATTAACATGCACATAAATCTTTATCAGACAGTAGAATGCCTTTACAAATTAATATGTATCATGGTTAAATATTGATGAAATAATCTTATTAAAACTACACTCATCTTACCGAGAAGTTGGCTGGGTCCACATGCAGTTTCTCATAATGATACTGGCTGAGCTGGGCAAAATATCCTTTAATATCATCAATGTGTTTGATAGCTTCTCCAATGGATGTAACCACTTTTTCACCATGGCTGATAACCTTAGCATTGTGGCTAATAGCGTCACAACTTCCCAGATTACCAAATGTACTGAAATATCTCTGGGTCCAAGGATAGACACTCAGAAGCCTGATAAAAATAAACAAAGCCTCAAATGTATATTGCTTACCGAGCAAAACTTATACACAATCATGATTCATGTGAAAAAAAATGATTTTCTTAATCAGGAATCTATTGTCAGAAAACAAAAATTACGTGACATATGGGAAAAATGCTAAATAAAACATAAACCAATCTTTATATATATATTTAGAGAGAGAGAGAGAGAGGGGGAGAGGAGACAGAAAAATATACATTTATTTATTCATTTTATATTACATACCTAGCAAGGGCTTCGCCTCCTATTTCTTTTGCATTCACTTTAGTCCATATTTTGTTTATGGCTTTAATTTGGGAATCAGTCCAGTGAACCATGATGAATGTTGTTCGTTACAGGAGTTGCTGCAAAAAAAAAACCCTGTGCTCTAACATTCCAATTTTCATGGTTTAAATATGGTCCATAAGGTTACTCCCATTTTCATTCTGCTTATTGATTGGCTGCAGTACATTAAACCAATTCTCCACTAAACGTCTCCTCCCTTTAGATTATCAGAGGAAAGGCCATAACATTTTAACAAACTATATATCTACCTATAATAATATTTGTGAATACTTATAAATTATAAGTTTTGAAGCATAAATGCAATCAAAAAGGAAATACAATGGATGGGGTATTTTCTATAGAAAAAGGTTTATTTCATATTTTATAGGAGTTTAGTGTTTATTTAACAAAGGTGGTCAAAACAATTTGACCTTATTTGAATAATTATCCAATATATAAACAAAATATGTATTATAATCGACCTATCACTAATGCTATATTTCTGATTATACTACCAATGTTAAAATGTTGTTACATATTATAAAGGGGAATTTTAAAAATTGAAACAAAACAATTAAAAACAATAAGCCTCTGGTAGGAATTGGCAAATAAATGCATTTTGAAGGGTATTGCAAAGGAACACAATAGCTATGTATTGTAATGAATATAATAATGTTTAGCATTTTTACAATTGCTAATTTATATCCAAATACAGCAGATTCTGACTGTAAATTATTTTATTTACTAAATATTTGTATTTGACTGTCTACATTCTTCTTATTAAAATCCAAAATGAATACATCTTTAATGTGAAATTAGTTTTGTCTTATTTTTTAGAATTATTAAATAGTATTGCAGTCTGTATTGATACCTTTTTTATTGGATTAACATAACATTTAAAAGACAAGCTTTTGGGAGTTTTCCTCTTTTCCTCATGTCTGATAAAAAAAAAAACATTTTCGAGAGAGGAAAACTCTTGAAAGCTTGTCTGTTAACCCCTTCAGCTTCAAAAGCTTGTCTTGCACTTAATGACACAAGCAATTTTTACATTTTTTGTTGTTTGCATTCAACTGCAATTTGCATTTTACTAATTTATTGCAGCAACACATAACAGATACCTTTTTTTATTTATTGTGCACATGTATTTGATATGTGCCACTATGATCAAAGCCCCAAATTATGCTCAGCTAAGTCTTCTGAATAAAATGCTACCCCCAATAAATGTCTTTGGCACTCTTTTGTGAAGCTACAGTGCCATATAGGAGACCTGTCCATTTCAGTATTTACAGTAGAATTTTGAGAGACGGATTTGATGGGCCAATGTTTCAATTTGGGGCATTATAGCAGTTTGAATGTTAATCCCCCCCCCCCCACACACACACACACACAAAGGCCTATCATCTTTAAAAGTAGACACCCCAGGGTATTTCAAAAGGCATATTATAAACCCTTGCGTAGGATCATTTTTTTGCTAGTTTGTACCAAGTCTACTAGCAATCAGCATTTTTTCTGCCTTTTTGACACACACTTGGAGATGTTACTGTATATTTTGCAATTCTTATGTGTACTACGGCAGTATAACACCTAATATGTTGCTCAGCTATGTTGTCTTAGTACAACAATATCCCCATGTGTACCTTTTTCAGGGATATGTGGATGTTGAAGGGCACATATCAGTTTTTACCAATCTTTGAATTTTGACGCTGGGCCCATGTGCAATTTTCGAGCATCTTAGCAGGTTTTTAATTCAAACTACCCCACAAAAGCCTACCATTTCTTAAATTAGACACCCCAGGGTATTTTAAAAGGCATATTTTAAACCTTAGCTTAGGATAATTGTTTTGCTAGCTTGTACCAAGTCTAGTAGTAATTAGCATTTTTTCTGCCTTTTTGACACACACTTGGATATGTTACTGTATATTTTGCAATCCTTATGTGTGCTACAGCAGTATAACACCTTATATGTAGCTCAGTGGGCTCAGAGGGCACATGACCTTTTGGGGGGTACTTTGTATTGTCACTAAAGTGCATTAATCGCAGTATGTCTTCATATCTGTCCCTACTCATTGTCTGGGAAAGAATGGGGGTATTGCAAATGGGGTTTTTAGACCAATGCATTCTAATTGTGGGCTTTTTAATTATCCCAATTAGCATGGTCAGTGTCCAGGATTATTTCAATTCTGGCACACTTGTTAGGTTCCATCTCTCTTTCTGGCGATTAGAGCCTCTTGATTGTGTGCCAGATACTGCTCAGCGTACAGATTAGTCTACACGACTATCTCCCTAAAAATCTCATCCCCCAAGAACAGCTGCATACAATACAGCGCATTATAATCAGACAGGTCAGGATTGGCAGTGAACTCTGGGATGTCTGGTGAAAAGTTATTAGGGAGTACCCAGTCATCTGCACCATGTTCAGCATTAGGGGAATCATAGTCCCTGTCCCCTGTGTTACTCTCTGAGGCAGTGTCAGTCACCTCTGAATCGGCCGCTAACAGGGCACAAGCCTCCTCTGCACTATACTTCCTAAGCATTATGTATTAAGGTAATAAACTTACTAAATAACTAAACTTTAATTTTTTTATTTTCACCCCTAACTAGCTTATCACTAAATTCCCTTAATTCCCACTAAATTCCACCATCCCAACTAACTAAATCACAGATTAATAAAAATTAAATATTAAAATTGAACCCCTTAGGATTACTAGAAAATCAAATTTACCCCTGAGGGTACAAAAAAAAAAATAGATCACAGTAAAGTACTGTGATCTGTATTTTGATCACTGCTGGCAGTGATCAATCAGCAGGAAAAGGGTTAATTTTTTTTAAAAGAACAGGGTCCCATGTCGCTGTTTCTTCCTCCGCCGCCGCTCCTCCCCTTCTTTACGTCAGCCGGCTGGGGAGACTGATCCCGCCCACCGATGGCGGAGGCCTAATGCGCATGCGCAGCAATGCCACACATTCACATTAGACCTCTCCATAGGAAAGCATTGAAAATGCTTTTCAATGCTTTCCTATGGGGATTTTAGCGATGTTGGAGGTCCTCACACAGCGTGAGCACGTCCAGCGACGCTATAGCACAGGAAACCTGTGCTAGGGACCAGGAAGTGCCCTCTAGTGGCTGTCTACTAGACAAGCACTAGGGGAGGACTTAACCCTGCAAGGTAATTATTGCAGTTTATAAAACCGGCAATAATTACAGTTGCAGGGTTAAGGGTAGTGGGAGTTGGCACCCAGACCACTCCAATGGCCAGAAGTGGTCTGGGTGCCTGAAGTGTCTCTTTAAACAAATTAATTCACTTCAGGGACACAATGTAACAACGATCCGTCTCTCTCCACTTCAAAAACCCACAAGAGGTGGAGGAAGGCGGATCTAAAATCCCAGCAGCATTGAGACCGCTGCGACTGGCTGTCACAGCGATCACGTGGGCTGGGACATCGCGATTTACTGTTGTTGGTCTGCCCCTGACTCGGAGGAACCCAGCAACAGCATTAACGCCACATTAGCCCACACCGTGGCGATCTGGGGTTAATTTTAGCCCACGACGGACCGGGTCTGTCATTCGTCATTAAAGGGTTAACTATTATGTAAGTCCAATAAAAAAAGTTATCAATACATACTGCAATACTCTGATATTTTGGCATCTTGTCTACTGTACTAATTCAACTAAGCCAATCTATACTATACAGAGCTGGTCTAGTATATAGTGTAGATTGGCATGGCTATAGTTTAGCTTAGTTGAATTAGTCCAGTATATAATTCCCGCTTTTAGTTCTGTTTAATAATAACAATAACACCAATCTTATAATAGGATATTTTAACTCTTTGGTGCTGTGATAAAAGTACAAAATGTACTCATATTTGCAACAATCCAAATTCCACCACACATCTCATGGTACACAGAATATTTTGAAATAAATTCACACAGCAGATCTTGGTGATTCTGTAATTCTGTAATGTGATGTAATTTATTCTGTGAGTAAATCTCACAGATGTTAGTTATGTCACTAACACTATGTATCTACCTAAGCCAACATCTACCAGTTATCTTTTTTTCTGGGAGGATGTGGAGGGGGGCTGTCTGTTCTTTTATTCAGTTCATTCAGCTTCTGTTCCAGTGTTAAAAAAAAAAAAAAAATTCATTATTCTCCTTCACAGATAAAGACTTTTTGCATAAAATGCAACCATAATAACTATAATAGCCATATCTATAATAAATTGTCAATGAATCTTGACTTGTTTGTATTACTTTGCAGAATAAATGTAAAATATTATGTGAAGTTGTATCTGGGTTCAACTGGTTTTAGATTAGATAAAGTATTTTGGATGTTTAGTTGCATTTTTAATATATTCTATTTTGATGCTGATGGTATAGATGTATATATTTGTGTATCAATATATAGCATATATATTACAATGTCACTTCAAATTTACTATTCAGCATTTTGTTTTATTAATATTTGTAATGTTAAATTATAGATTAAAAAAGCTATGCCTATAGAAATTAAACAAGAACAAGAAAAATAGAAGATGTGGAATATATTATTTATATTTTATTTACATATATACATGTTTACACAGCCTCTAGAACAGTAATTTAATGGAATCTTATTAAATATTAAACTGCTTTTATTCTATATTTGGCTTCTTGAAATCATGTTCCTAAAGAGTTTCTGATAGCCAAAAACCTGAGTATACTAGATCAAAAAACACCCCAACTGGAAACATAGATAAGACTTTTAAGAGTGCACTCGATGTTCCATATTTGAACGTATTATTTCTTTAGTATGTGCCAACTTATGATATAAAACAGACAGGCATTACATTGTATTACACTGCATATTTTGTTGATTATAGTCCTAAGCATGTAAATTCTAATTCTAGCAGAAGAGAATTATGTTTTTCTTTTTGCTTTATGACCCATGATACAACTAATAACATGATTGTGGCAGTAATTGAATAACATTCTTTAATAACTCCAGATAAAACTAGCAACATTTGCAATTATTTAGTCAACAAATCAACCCTTGATCTTCATTGAATCTTGATAGATAGCCCCTTATTAGTTTCACTGTCATTAGAACAGATGCTACATTAGACGTGAAAACAAAAAAAAACAAAAAACAAACAAACAATTATTAAGTAATCTAATAATACTAACAAAGGCAGTATTCATTGTTTGCCACAGATATAAATGTGACATTTGAATTAAACCCTGCTTAATTATTATGTGACTCATATTAACATTTTAACTTGGCAATACCAATGATTTATAATAATGTTTTTATTTATTTTTTATTCAAAGTTTATTAAGTTGATAAGTACATACAATGAAACAAATGCAATCTAACTGAGAATGCATAGTTATCAGAAAGCAATATAACCAAAGGGTGATACATGAAAATAAAGATTACATAATCATCGAAGAGAGGCAACCATATGGAGAGTACTACGCTGTTGTTTAACAGCATCGTCTAACAGAGTAACGCTAGGCTTATTGTTGCCAAACATACCAGACAATGGTAAAATAGTTGGATTAGTATGTTAAAGTGAGGTCTGGAGACCCAAGGGGCTAACAGGGTGGATGTGGTATTGCACAGCGTAAGGCCAGCATTTATGCCAGTAGTGCGTTGCACCCATGGGGCAGTGTATTGTTGGGTAATGAGACCTAGCTGGTTACCGTGTCCCTAAGCCTGTGTTTTAGCCATTGAAAGGTACAGCTAGTATCTGGCTGGACAATTATGTTGTTATGGGAGACCCTTAGGTTAGTTAGTTATACTCTTTGCTCGTAGGCAGTCCCAGGTTCGAGTTTAGGTGTAGTGGTGTTTGGTGGTCCACTCTCACTCGGACTACATGGGGTAGGTAGTCCCAAGGCCCCGGTGTAGCGGGTGGATATTGCGGGACTAAATTGCGTGTTGTGTGAAATAGGGCATAATGGAGATATTGTCAGAGCCAGATCTCTATGGAAAGACATCCTCCACCAGAGTGTCATATTGGTGTTTAGTGTCGGGTGTTTACCCGGTAGTTTCCCCGACATCTCTCTCGGTAACCATGGGAGAAGTGGCAGGAGCACCCTCGTGAAGCTTGCCTCCATGGCGATCCAGAGCTTGTCCTTCGGGGCATATGTCCACTCAAAACCCTCTGGAGGTGAATGGCTTGTTGATAGTTAGGTCTGGCAGCCCCAGGCCTCCATGTTGTTTAGGTTTGGTGAGAGTGGCGGCATTCAGCCTCGCTTTCCTGCCATGCCAGAGATAGCCTGTGCGGGTTTGTGAAAGGAACGTCTTGGGGATGTGGACCGGTAGGGTTTGCAGGAGATTCAAGAACCGCGGAAGCACATTCATCTTGAGGATGTTTATCCTCCCAAGCCAGGTAATGTGAGGCAACGTGTAGGATGTCAGATCTTGTTGTACCTAGACTGATAGCAAAGAGCAGGGATGACAGTGGGCACCCCTGTCTAGTGCCATTTTTTATGTCAAATGGCTTGGAAAGGATCCCATTCACCTGCACTCGAGCAGAAGGTTTGGTGTATACGGCTGCAATCCATGCCAACATGTGAGGGCCGAAGCCAAAGTGTTCAAGTGTGGACATTAAGAAGGACCAATCTACCCTGTCGAACGCCTTCTCCGCATCAGTTGAGACCAGTAGGGCTGGCGAATTTCGAGTCCAAGCTGTGTGGATCAGGTTGAATGCTTTAATTGTATTCTCTCTGGCTTCTCGTCCCTCAACGAAGCCCACCTGGTCAGGATGGATAAGGCCCGGTAGCAGGGGCTGGATGAGGAGTGCCAAGAATTTTGTGAAGAGTTTCCTTCCCCTCTTTAGGCAGCACCACTACGTGTGCTAAGAGCGTATTGGGTTCCAACGATCTTCCTTCTTTGATAGCGTTAAATAGAGTGAGAAGGCGGGGCAAGAGTGTCAGAGAACATCCTATAATATTTTGTTGTAAAGCCATCAGGGCCTGGACTTTTCCCTAGTATGGCCCATTTCAGGGCAAGGTTCAGCTTGTCTCTAGTGATTCCTTCCTTTATGGCGGCCACGGTTTGGGCATCCAATTTGGTTGACATGTAACGTGCTATATAAGATTTCTGTTGGTTGAGAAAAGTTTTGTTTCTGGCCCCCGCTGGCGGTGTTTGTTGGGGCAGGCACTACAGCAATGAGTTGTATTGTCTGAAGCCCTCTGCACTGGTCATAGGAGTGAGGAATGTTTACCCGGCGTGCGATATCCTCTGTACGTAGCTTTTTTTGTCTGCGTGCTCACAGTGCTCTTGCCAACATCTTTCCACTCTTGTTCCCATATTCATAGAAGGCTTTTTTAGTGAGACGAAACTGGAAATGGATTTTTGACGTTAGGCAAGAGCTAAGTTGCGCCGTGGCCTCCAGGAGTCGTTTGTAGGTATCTTCGTTTAGATCAGTTTTATGCTGGTTTTCCGAGTGGGATAGTCGGTCAGTCAGGTGTAAAATTTCCTGAGACGGCAGTTTCTTTAATCCAGAGCCATGTTTAATGAGAAGTCCTCTCACTACACATTTGTGTGCCTCCCATATGGTTGAAGGCATCGACTCAGGGGAGGTGTATAATACATTTTTATATACATTTTAAAAAAGAACAAATGCCTTATTAGCTTCTATACTTCTTTACTGATATTTCTATATGTTCCATTTGTGCCTGTGTTCCATTAGCATTGTTGAACGTCATCTTCCATTATTTTCCATAGAATGTTTCATACACAGTAACTCACAAAAGTGAGTACACCCTTCCCTTTTTTGTAAATATTTTATTTTATCTTTTCATGTGACAATACTGAAGAAATGACACTCTGCTACAATGTAAAGTAGTAAGTGTACTGCCTGTCAGTGGTGTATCCTGGTTTTGTGCTGCCCTAGGCATGACAAAACTCAGGCACCCCCCTCCCCTCGCACCACCCTCCCCCCTTCCAAATGCACACACATTCACTGACAGACAGGCATACAATAGCTAACACAGACACTCACTAACAGACACACACTCACTAACAGAAACACATTCACACACACACACACACTAACAGACACACACACACACACTCACTAACATTTTTTTTCAATTCAAACCCCCCAGCCTCCTTACCTTTGGGAATTCTGGGGGGGTCCTGCCTTTCCCTGGGGTCCAGTGGGGCTTCTGGGCGGCCGGCCGGTGACTGCAGGCGGCGAGGGAGCACTGATCTTCCTATTCAGCTCCCTCACGTGCCTCAGAGTGATGCCGGGAGCCAGAATATGACATCATATTCCGGCATCACTCTGCGGCGCGCGAGGGAGCTGAGCAGAGGGCTCCATAATCAGTGCTCCCTCGTCAGTGTCACCTGCCTGAATTTTTAGTTAGCCACCAGACTAACAAGACATTTGCCTAGGAATTTGGGGGCAGCTTTTTTTGGCGCCCCATGGAAAGTGCCACCCAAGGCAAATGCCATGTTTGTCTCATGGCTAATACGTCCCTGCTGCCTGTATAACAGTGTAAATTTGCTGTCCCTTCAAAATAACTCAACACACAGCCATTAATGTCTAAAATGTTGGCAGCAAACGTGAGTACACCCCTAAGTGGAAATGTCCAAAATGTGCCCAGTTAGCCTTTTTTTCCTCCCTGGTGTCATGTGACTCGTTAGTGTTACAAGGTCTCAGGTGTGAATAGGTAGCAGGTGTGTTAAATGTGGTGTTATCGCTCTCACACTCTCTCACACTCATCTCTCTCACTGGAAGTTCAACATGGCACCTCATGGCAAAGAACTCTCTGAGGATCTGAAAAAAAAGAATTGTTGGTTGTGACGAAACCAACCTCGCCACGAAGCATTAAAGAAGCCTGGTTGCTCGCCTGTTGCCCTTGGACTATGGCCCCATGTTTAAAAGCCTTCTTGCTTCTGCATTATTTAACCGGATGCCTGTTCATTCAGTAGTTTAACCGTATGAACAGCATTACCCCAGATAGCCATGCCATGGAGCCTATTCGTGTAACGAAAGACTATGGGAAAGACTTTGGCTCCATGGCGATTGAACTGTATGTATGTGATCTTTACCTCCATCTGGTAATAATGTGCGCTCAGATCTAAGCTATCTGGGGATAGGTAGAATGTATATGTTTTGTGCAACAGTTGTAACTTTATACATTTTTATGTCTTTGTGGTGGAACCAACCTCGCCACTAGGCACTGGAGAAGCCTGGTTGCTCGCCTGCTGCCTTTAGACTATGGCCCTGGGAGATTGTGAAAACTTATGGACTTTTATTGGGTGTGTATGGCCCTTTAAGACAGTCGGTGGGCATATTGGGGCTTATGTACGTTTTATGGGACTGGTGCTGGCCCTTTAAGCACCTTTTTGGGGCGTAGGGAAAATTGGGACACTGCCCCTTTAAGACGGTGTCCCCAGACTTGTTTGGGACACTGCCCCTTTAAGACGGTGTCCCCAGTGTCCCCAGACCGGGTTAAAACCCTTTGTTCCTAGCTATTTCCCACTTGGTTCAGTAAATGGGGCTTACTGAACCAAGTACCACACAGGCGGACCACCTGTATTGGGAGTGTGTCGGCAATTTACCTCCCAGAAGCTGCGGTTAACCGCAGCTTAATTAGCGAACGCTGGATGGCCTTTGTTCGTTTGCCGAACACGTGGCGGCGGCCATCTTTGTTCATTCGCACGAGGTCAGCGGTATGTGTAGCCAAATTCATGGAACTAAAATCGGCTACACATTTCCGCGAACACCGCTGAGCCCTACCCTCTCCCACAATTTTGCGGCGATGGGTCATTTTTTCAGCCTAAAATAGACCGACCACACAGCCCAAATCTATGGAACTGTTTTGGGCCGTCAAATGTGCTTACGGTCGGTCATAAAGGGACCTCCAGCTAACCTTTTAACCCCTGGATGGATTTGGCTGATTTTTGGTTATGTATATATTTGAAGGTTGCTGATTCTAAATATGTCATTTTTAACTTGGTGTTTTAACCTAGTTCACATTCTATTGATGCATGCATGAAAACTCTGTTTAAAGCACCATTGATTTGGTGAACTGTAAAGCCCATGTTGGAATAGAGCAGGCATAGGATTTACAACATAAATACTTCCTGTTATGTGGCTTACTCCATCAAGTAAATATGGATTGGCATTACACATTCAATGAATTTTTATGGGAATTTATGAATTCATATGTATGGTTTTCTCCACTTCCATAGACAACTCAGTTTGTACTCTGTTAACATGCTGTATACATGCTGAGGCTGTGAGGATATTCCTAATGTAAGTCCTTTTTATTTTAAATATACAGTTTTACGTATAGTTGACAGTTAAGCATCTTAGTATTACCCACTGCTACTTCATCTTACGTGGTCACAATAACTGAATGTTAATTAGCAACAGAATTGTGGAAGCTAGCTTTTATCACCTTCAACATAGTCTTGCATTATAACAACAAGCCAGCCAAAAAAACAGGGCTTATATAGAAGAGTAACAGGACAAAAAATTCATAGGTAGTATATATCTTGTTTATCTGTTTGTTACAATCAGATTCAGCTGTACAAACAGCTGGTCATCTTGGAGGTAAGTAAAGTAACAATAGAGGTAGGATGTTTAAACACAGAGGCATTGCTCCGAGGTTTGATGAGGTTGTCCAGTTTATCAATTGGTCTTAAGGTGGTAAGACAATCATAGGCATCTATACATCTATGAACAACATGGCAGTCCATAATAGAAAGAATGTCCCCTCTAAGAGAAATTGGTACTTACATAAATCTCTTAAGCAGAGGTGTTGCTAGGTGAGAGTGACCTTGGCGGTATTTGAGTGGGTTGATTTGCTCTAACACAAGGTATCTCAGCCTCCAGTTCCACCAAAACCAATTAAATAACCAAAAACATTAAATAAGTAGTCCATCACTCTTTCTTTTTTATAATCTTTAATTAGATTTAAAGGGACATTACAGTCACCAAAACAACTTTAGCTTAATTAAACAGTTTTTTCTGCAGTCTCACTGCTCAATTTCTTGCCATGTAGGAGTTAAATCACTTTTTTTTTATACAGCCCTAGGTACACCTCCCTGCATGTGACTTAAACAGCCTTTCTAAACACTTCCTGTAAAGAGTCATCTAATGTTTACACGTCCTTATTATAAATTATGTTTAATTTAGAATTTCTTATCTCCTGCTTTATTAATAGCTTGCTAGGCCCTTCAGGAGCCTCTTGCATGTAATTAAAGTTAAATTTACAGAGCAGGTGTTAAAAGCTTTTAAAGTAAGATACATCTGACTGAAAATTAAACCATTTTGTTTTCATTCATGCACTGTCAGTCACAACTAGTGATGTCGCGAACTTTTCGCGAACGGTTCGCGAACCGTTCGCCGTGAACTCCAGTCAGCAGACACATCCCGGCCAATCTCCAGCAGACCCTCCCTCCCAGACCCTCCCACCTCCTGGACAGCATCCATTTTGAAGGCAGCTTCAAAATAGAATCTGTCCAGGAGGTGGGAGGGTCTAGGAGGGAGGGTCTGCTGCAGATTGGCCGGGATGTGGCTGGTGACTGGAGTTCGCGGCGAACGGTTCGTGGTGAACCGTGGCGAACCATTCGCGAACCGTTCGTGAAAAGCGACATCACTAGTCACAACCAGTTGAGGTATGGCTAGGGCTGCATAAACAGAAACAAAAGTGATTTAACTCCTAAATGACAGTGGATTGACAGTGAAACATTAGAGGGATGATCTATACATAAAAACAGCTTAATTGAACTAAAGCTGTTTTGGAGACTATAGTGTCCATTTAAGTAATACATTTGAAAAGATAGTAAGACAGCTATATGTAAGATTTAAATGTGACAGCAGCCGTGGTTTCCAGCAACATTTGCTTTGTAACAAAGATATGGCATGGGACATAGATTTCATGCACTATGGTAGTCACACGCTGAGTAGGATTCTGAAGGAAGACGGGGAAGAATGGAGAGGGGAAAAAAGAGGGGGAGGAGAGGGTTGCAACCTACCTATAGATAGACAGACCTTTACTCCACCTCATATCCCCCAGTGGAGGTCCAGCTGACAACTATCAATCAGTGTACAGGCAGTCGTGAATGCTCCCTACAAAATCTCTGGGGAGATCAATTCACACCCTCAGGGTCATTACACACAGTCAAACATCACTAGCCAGCAGGTGATAAAAACTTTTAAAGTACCCAATACTCCCCTATCATGTCTAATATGGGGACCTTCTGCTGGAAATAAAGTCAAGCCAGGGTGTAAATGCCTGTGGTGTCAACCACTCTTTCAAGATTATTAAGCCTATAACAATGTTAGCAATGAAACTGAGCAGACTATTTATGCAATAAATTCATGGTTGGTGTCGATGACGGTGTCATGCTTTTTAGAGAGAACAACTCTACAATAAAGTCCATTGCTATATTTTACAGGTTCCAGAAGGAATAGAAAAAAACTGAAAGAGCCATGCAAGTCTGGAGGTAGTGTGCTTAG